AAACTTTATATTGTTTTCTGACAAACCTACAATTAATTTTAGGTATTTTTTCGGTAATTTTTGAACATTTTAAACATGTTTTGGAAGAGCTCAAACAACAACGGGCTAATATTAAGAAAAATATTTCTCGCATAAAAAACATTGTCGAGGCCAGTCTACGGCCAGGTGCTAAAATACTTTCAGCAGCCGAATACAAATGCCGACTTGGTATTCTGGAWTCTTATTTTAAAAATGTGTTGTCTACACAGACGGAAATTGAAAGGATAGATCCTGAGGATTGTGGTCGCATGGATCTTGAGGAGCTGTATATAACCACAAAGTTAATTATTCAGTCTCAGATTACCGAGGATTCCAACACCACATTCTCAGACACCACTTGCGTAATGCAGGCAGGATCGAAGCTGCCCAATTCAAACTTCCTACATTCAACGGCAAGTACTCAGAATATCAAAATTTCATAACTTCCTTTCAGCAAATTATTGATCGAGAATATAGCTTATCTAACATAGAGGAATTTAATCATCTACGCAACTGTCTCAATGGACCGGCATTGGAGATACTCAAAACTCGATATGACAATCCAACTCTCATATTTTTAGAAAACATTTCCTCTTTATTTGAGCTTTCGTCTATTTCAAGGCCTCATGGCGGTCAGTTGTGAAGTTTAATTGATAAGGCATCTGCAATTTACGGCTCGTTATTGTCATTGGGAACTGAAAGTCAAATTTCACAAGCTATGCTTATTTATTTAGTTTTACAGAAGGCAGATGAAGAAACCAATCGGGAATGGAAGGAGTCTCTGGACTTCAAAACTTTGCCTGGCTGGGAAAATTGCACCCACATTTTGCAGAGACATTGCCAGTACCTGGACTCAATTGATAACGCTCACACCATTGGATATGTACACCAAAGCACTACCAACACGCATAAAGCAAAACCTTTACGTAAAGGCTATTCGTTTTCCTGTTCCAGCTCATGTTCTTCGATGTGTTCCATCAACAATCAAAAAATACACAACTGCGACCGTTTTAAGGCACTTAGTGTGTCGCAACGCTTTGACCATGCAAAAAGGTTGTCTCTATGTATTAACGGCTTATCAAGGGGACATCATACACCAGATTCGTCAAATTCTGCTTCGACATCCGCTGTTCATACACACATGAACAATTCGTCATCGTTTGACAATGTCATCCTCGCCAGAGGAGAGGTTCTAGTTCGCGACGCTTCCGGAAACTATCATCTTGGCCGAGCTTTGCTGGATTCTTGCTCACAAGTTAATTTCATAACTCAAGAATTTTCACAAGAACTGATGCTTCCACGTAGCAAACACAACATAGAGATCGAAAGTATAAAGTATAAAATTTCTACAAATATTAAWTCGCAAGTAGCAAGCTTGGACTTACYTCTAGATTTTTGCATTACATCGCACATTGCCTATCATCCAGAACCGGAGATAGATACATCTACTTGGCATATTCCTCCAAACATTGTACTCGCTAATCATCAATTTAATAAATCGAGGAAAATTGATTTACTTTTGGGGACAGAGAGCATCTTTAGTTTACTTTCTGTAGGACAAATTAAAATTGGTGATAATCTTCCGATTTGACGCTGTCAAGCAAATGCTAACGCTTTTAATGCCAAGTGCTTGTTTTCTTGTGAGGAGCCTATAGATCTAAAGTTGGAAAAATTGTGGCAAATTGAAGAAATTGCAACAAAGTCGAACGTTTGGACACTCGAACAGCATAGCTGCGAAAGTTTATATAATGACATCGTATCTCGAAGTCCTAACGGTAGAATCATAGTGAACATCCCGTTCAAAGATGACCCTTCTTGTTTGGGTGAATCTTATAATACAGCTTTGCGACGTTTTAATGCGCTAAAACGCCGATTGCAACAGTCCCCTATGATCAAGAAAGAATACGTAGCCTTCATGGATAAAAATCAGAGTCTAGGCCACATGGAAGTATTACCCAATCCAAAATTGGAGAAACCTCACTACTATATCCCTCATCACTGCGGTTTGAAACCAAATAGCACCATGTCGAAATCGAGAGTTGTATTTGATGCATCTTGTCGAACAACTACGCAAAAATCGATAAATGACATTCAAATGGTTGGACCTACAATTCAAAGCGAACTTGTAATTACCTTGCTCCGTTTTCATTTACATCGCTTCGCTCTTACTGCAGACTTTCGATTGTTGCAGCGAAATAAAATGACAAATGGCATACTACGAAATTTGAATCCGTTCTTGGAAACAGCTCAAGGATTTGGACTACTAAAGGTTGGAGGTAGACTTGAACTGGCCAATCATYCAGAAAGCCAGAAACATCCTATTCTACTACCAAGTAAATGTGGATTTTTTACGCGATATGTTCAATATCTACATATTAAAAGCTACCATGCCGGACCTAAAGCATTGGTGGCTTTAATTCGTTTACAAGTCTGGATCGTCAATGCTCGTGATCTCACTAGACGTATTGTCCGATCATGTATTCATTACGTTCGTTACAAACCGAAAATGCTTCAACTTATGATGGGTAATCTTCCCATTGAGCGGTGAACACCAACGCGCCCATTCTCTCGTTGCGACGTCGATTTCTGTGGACCTGTCAACATCTATCTCCGCATCAGGGGCAAGGTACCCTATAAAGCTTATGTTGCCATATTTGTTTGCTTCTCGACAAAGGCTGTCCACATCGAAGTCGTTTCTGACTTATCCACAGATGCATTTTTGGCATCACTCAAACGAATGATTGGAAGAAGAGGTCTTCCATCAGATATTTATTCTGATAATGCAAGTAATTTCGTCGGAGCTTGCAGCAAACTTTCAGAACTGAAAGCCTTTCTTTTCAAGAAATAAACAAAAGATGTCATCATAAGTTATTGCGCTAATCAATTAATCAATTTTCATTTTATCCCTCCTAGGGCACCTCATTTTGGTGGCATTTATGAGGCCGCAGTTAAATCAGCAAAAGGGCATTTGAATCGTAGCGTTATGAATACCAAATTAACATACGAGGAACTCACTACAGCCTTGGTAGAAAAAGAAGCAGTTCTAAATTCTTGGCCTCTAACCCCACTTTTGTCTGACCCCAGCGACTACGAACCTTTGACTCCAGGTCACTTCTTAACTGGTAGTGCGTTAAGAGAGTTAAGTTATTGCGCTAATSAATTAATCAATTTTCATTTTATCCCTCCTGGGGCACCTCATTTTGGTGGCATTTATGAGGCCGCAATTAAATCAGCAAAACTTTGTCTGACCCCAGCGACTACGAACCTTTGACTCCAGGTCACTTCTTAACTGGTAGTGCGTTAAAGAGTCTTCCGGAGCGAGCAGTAGCTGACAACGTCAATCAAGTCAACAGATGGAATCAAATAACTGCCCTCAAATAAATATTCTGGAAACGTTGGTCACACGACTATATAAATGATCTGCAAGCGAGAATAAAGTGGAACACTGACCGTGGAAATGTTGGTAAGAACGCAATGGTTCTTATCCATGAGAACAATGTATCACCGCAACGATGGCTAATTGGTCGTGTCATAGATGCTATCTAAGGAAAGGATGCACAAGTCAGAGTAGCTGATGTGCGAACTTCAAAGGGTATAATTCGTCGCCCAATCCACAAAATTGCAGTTTTACCTGTTTGAAAGTCCTTTCAACGGGACCGGGATGTTGGSTCAACTAACGTTACACCCTATTAGTTATTAAGTTATTTTAAGTTTAGTTACTCATATATAAGAGCACAGACTCAATTGTACTAACAAAATAAGGTATTGTAAATTGTATGTGCATAATGCTCCCACAAAACTCATTTGAATATACACACGTATGCATGCCTACATATGTTCTCAACAACATAACAGCGAGAGTTTTTGTCACTCCTTGTGTGTGACTCTACCGCATGTGCAAGCATGTGAACATCCATCGAAAATATTAGCATAAGCCTAATCATTGTACCTAATTATATTTCATTTACATTAAATAATATAGTCTATTGCTGACCACCAAGGTGACAAGTTTTCTATTTTATACTTCCAATTTAATTACACAGTCCAATATCTTTAAATCATTGTTGTTTCGTTGAACTAACGCGGTTCTACAGTAGCTTTATTGGTTTAGGGGATATGTACATTAAACTTATTAGAGGGCGGTGCCACGCTCACATTTTCAAAATTTTTTGCCCACACCTGTCCCTGGCTACTACGATGCTTTGTGCCATTTAGAGATTTATATCTTCATTTAGTGCTTAGTTATGGTACTTTATATGCTTTCGGTTAATGGCGAATTGTGGGCCTGTCACTGATCCGATTACATCCATATATGAACTGGAACTCAGGAGGGGCAGATCCTATTTTTTATGGACACTTATTTGGATTCTTTGGACGTTTTTCTCAGAATGGTGCTTCTCAAAACGGTTTCCACTCTCAAAGTAAGACTTTTGAAGATACATATATTGTTCTAATTTGGAAAAAGCATTTTTATCGTCATCGCGGTATTGCAGGAATGTTGTTGTTGTTGTAACGGCAGACTTCTGCCGAGTTGACAGTCCTTGGCCGGATAAAAATCCGGGTCCGTTCCTGTTTTCGTAGACCCGACTGCCGTGGGAACACGTATTGTAGGAATCTGTGAGGCTGATGAGCTCGCTAGGGCAGGTTCTTCAGTCTAAATATCTGCGGAATGGGTTCGGACAAGAACTCCGTTGGCATCTATTTATTCACTAGCAGGCTCACACTGACCACAAATCGTGTAAAAATTGTATTTTATGTTATTATTGAGAGGACTGTGTAAAAACAGAATAAGGTACCCTATGTAGAATTTAAATCGTTTTGTTATTTTAGTAAAATCATAAAAAAAAATTTAGAAATGTTTCTGAACACACTCATATTTATTGATGTTTATTCTACTATTTTCAATTAAAAACAAACTATTAAAGACATGTCGTTATTTGAGTAAAAATTGAATATACATATTAATAATATAAAAATATAATGTAAATATAAACATATTAATAAAACTTGATATACATAATTTCACATTTTACTTCTTAACTTTTTTAAAAAATCACGTGCTTGCTTGTCACCTTGTCTATATTCCAACGCACGAATAGTTTCCGACTCTGCAAATAAAAGTTGGTTAATATACATAGGTGGAAAAATGCACTATAACTTTCATTTACCTGTGTACYGTGGTCGAGATAGCTCCATATGAATTTGTTCATTTGCATTTGCCATGAGGTMCGCAAAAGTTATGTAACACTCACCTATGTATTGGCTGGTCATACCAAAAAGATCTTTGTCTTTAATGCTGAATAAGATTAGACTGTTATGTTTGGAAAGTTGTTCCTCTGTAAGGTTGCTGTAAAAGTAAACAATCATTTAATATATAAATTAATAATATATATTATAATAAAATCTAWTAAACATTCGTTCCTATTTTGAAATCGAAATTCAAATTATTACGGTCGCTACAAGGTTTATTGTACAACATAGCGACTCCAAACGGTTTCCACTCTCAAAGTAAGAGATTTGAAGATATTTTGTTCTAATTTGGAAAAATCATTTTTATCATCTTCGCGCTACGGAAGCTTTTTSTTGCTCTACGAAAACAGTCGAAAAAGGGCAAAATTCGATACTTTTTGTTCAAATGCTGCTATTTTGTCAAATTTCAAAAAAAAAAAAAAAAAAACAAAAAGATTCCAAAGCGCGGTAGCGATTTTCCTACATATTAATAATAATTTTGAAATTTTTATTTCAGATCAAAACTGCGGCCGCAATCGTGGCCATTTCTTACGTGTCATTTATAAAAAAAATTATTTAAATATTTTACACCCAATAAATAAATATAAAAAACTTTTTGTATTCGTCATGAATGTAGTTATTAATTATTAAACAACCGGACCGATTAGTTAATTTCAACATTTGAAGAAAAAAAAATCGCGAAAGTTCGAAGATGATATTTCGGAGAGTCACACTGTGACGATCCCTTAGATGCTTCCAAAAATCGATTTTTTTTTGGGAGGGAATAAAATAGTTGGTTAAAGTTAAATTTCTAGGGTTTATAGTTATATATTTAGATATTTGCTTSAATACGAAATCATTGATATTCTTTTCATTGGGAACCAATTGACCGATGCATCTCGCAGATTCTTATTTGTTAGTAACTTATGCACTAGTTAAACTAAGAAAATTTAAAAAAAAAAGTGTAAAAAATTAATCAAGCAAATTTTGCTATATGTTGTTGAAACTTATGTTCAAACTTSACATTTCTTAGTTTCTTTTTAGTTCAAATAGAAGATAATTTAATTCCAAAGATAATAAACTTTGCCCCAATTCCATACGACGTTTAGTTTCTTTTTTATCATGYTTGCCAATCAAGAAAAATCGTAAAAATTAAAAACCGAGAAATCGCGCGTCAAATTTTTTGCTAATATAATATATATGCTTGACGCTTAGCAACTATTTCCCTTCTAGCTTCGACAATATTTTGAATTCCAATCTATAACTTTGGGGAAAAATTATCTAATTTTAAAGAGATTTAGCAAAAAAAAATCGATGTTTTGAAGCAGCTAAAGTAGGCTCCCCCTTAAAAAATAATATTGCTATATAAATGTGTAGAAAGCTTTATACTACTCGCCTAGCGATGTTGTGCGTTGTTGGGACTTGCCACATAGAAAACACTCGCAAACACAGCAAACGTAATAAGGACTACGATTTAAAGGCATACACCTGGAATGTTGGGACTCGCCACGTAGAAAACACTCGCAAACACAGCAAACGTAATAAGCACTATGATTTAAAGGCATACACCTGGAATGTCCCTAAATTAGGAAAGKAGATGTAGATGTGAGATGATGTAAAAGTAAAAGCTGACGTAATCGCGGTCTAAGAAATATGATGGACGTGACAAGGACGGACACGAGTATTATTTATTATTTACATTTACTATAGCGGCCATATAAATAAGCGCAAATTTGACGTGGAATTTGTGGTATGACTTAATCGTCGAGTTCTGATGCATATAACGACTGCCCCCACCACAATATAGATATTGTACGATGTAGAGAAACTACAATCCCAACCGATACCTAAGCGGTCTTCTACTCGACTCGGTCCCCTACTTTCCAATAGCACTCATCAACAACTCAGTATAAGGGAATTGTGGGACGGCGCCTATTCAGCGTTCGACCATAAAATTTCACGAAAAGATACGGCGTCTAAAAAAAGGCTTCAACTGATTATGATGAGGTTCCAATAACAATTATCCGTCTAAAGAACAACAAAGTGACAGGGAGTTATGGACTACTGGCCAAACTATTCAAATACGGCGGCGAAGAACTGACAAAGTGCATGTATCAGGTTCTTTGCCAGATCTAAGTGTTATCTACCCAATAAATAGGAAGGGTACTCCGCAATCTGCCGTGGTGTAATCTCATATCCATCAACAAACTGATTGAACCTTATTACTGTGGCTTTAGACCTGAAAAATCTTTATCTATTATCCGTCAGGATCGGGAAAAAGCTCTCTGAGCCGTTCGACATCCGCAAAGTTTCAGATAAGGATATCGTGTGACTTCTTCAATATATTGTTGGAAAAAATAATACGAGCAGAGCTTAAWAGAGAAGGTACAATTTTCTTTAAAGGTGTACAACTGCTGGTGTACACTGCTGATATTGATATCATTAGCTTCAATAACTGAGCCGATAGTTCTGCTTTCTCCAGACTGGATACGGAAACGCAAATAACTGCTCTGGTTGGGAACGAGACAAGACGAAATATATCGTGTMACTCTTGCTACTTTCGATTGAGGAAGTCRAAGTAAAATCCTTTCTCGACGAAAAAAGACCAAACTCTRTAAGTATCGCATTATTCCCGCTATATGGTRCGGAGGTATGGACAATGACATCGTCTGATGAATCACCCTTAGGAGTGTTTGAGATAAAGATTTTGTGGAAGATTTATGGTCTTTTCGCATTGGCCACAGCGAATAACGCAGTCTCTGAAACGATGAGCTGTACGACACATACGTAGTTCAGCGCACCAATTCCGTTTTCGTGCTAAACATGGCATTGTACAGCAAGTACATAAATAGAATTACGAACGAAATCAGGAAAGCATTCGAGCACAAAGAGTACTGTTCAGCTATTTTTCTAGATGTAGCTCAGGCGTTCGATAAGGTCTGRCATGAAGACTTTTTRTGGAAAACAAAAACGAGTCATATTTAATAAACAGGAAATTTACAGTTAAAGTAGCAGACTTAAWATCAGAAGARCAAGCAATAAGGGCTRGTGTACCTCGGGGTAGCGTGCTAGGCGCAACTCTATACATAATATAATATATACAAAAGACATTCCATTAAAACACGTCGCGCAAAAATGTAGAGTCGCGGCGGAACGAAATTAGTCTTATAACTTTCCGGACAAACCCTGTACCCATATCGCATGTTGGTGGCATCATATACTCCTAATCAGCAACGACTGGAAATTGACAGCTCCAGAGAAGGAGAGTTACTGCAGAGTTGTGGTAACTGTCTTCAATCCTAAAAATTCAGAGATTAAATCATAATCCAGAACAAATCTGGTCAATCGATGGTATTCACTGCGTTTAAATTCGGTCACAATCGTGGCTCGATGCGATGGGGCATTATCACCGTGTAAAATCGATGAATTTTTCTTCCAGAATTCTGGCTGTTTTCGGCGAATTTTATCGCGCAGACGTCTCAATACGTACGGCCAAATAGAACTCCTTATACACCGCTTATCGCTATATAAAGAATAACAATCAACTTGATTTTTGAGTAACTTATTCGTGGCTTTTTTGGTTTCGGCTGGTTTTTTGCCCTTCAATTCGACTTGCTTGCACGTTAAACTCATAAATCTAAGAGACCTGTCAAAGAGACCTGTTCCCGGTACTCATTTTGAAAAAAATTCAGCTTTATTGGGACGAGTAGAGACCTGTCAAAGAGACCTGTTCCCGGTACTCATTTTGAAAAAAATTCAGCTTTATTGGGACGAGTAGAGCAAGAACTCGTTTCATATCCTAAATATCCACCAAAATCATTCGAACGGACTCCCGAGAGATRTCGAGCACTCTTGCCATCTCTCTAACACTTTTCTGACGATTTTCAAGCACCATATTCTTTACTTTTATTAATACTTTCAGGGCCGTCCAGAACAAGGTATGTTTTCAAAGATTTCTCGACTGTCTTTGAAGGCTATAGCCGTAGCTGAGAATAGGCTCAATGGGTATGTAAACTAGCAATTCCCATAATTGGACGAAAAGGAATCTGAAGAACTGACCTTTTATTTCATCCAAAAAAAAAAAACCACGGTTTGGTGTAGTCTGTTCAAAAATTATACCGGTGAGAACGTAACCGTCAATGGCAACTGTTATCGCCCACCACAGTCGGGTCTATAGTTCGTGCCACAGTTGGGTGTACGTAACTGAAAAGGACCCGAATTTTTATTCGGCCATTGACTGCCAACTCGGCAGAACTCTGCCGCCACAAAAACAACAACAATCGTCATCGCTCCCTGATAACAGACTATTTGATGGCCGAAATTGATGATCCTGATCTTACAGCATGAGGACGCCACTTTCCACACACCGCATCAATCAATGGTTTTATTGAGAGAACATTTCGGTGAGCAAATGGTCGATTGGCCACCAAGATCGTGTGATATCGCACCGTTATACTTTCCCTGTGGGGATATGTTTAGTTTAAAGTATATGCGGAGAGTCCCGCTTCGGTTCATCGTCGAAAATTGGACTTTACCGCATATCAGCATTTGAAACCGATAATCTTCAAAAAGTAAATGCCAAAGAATGTTATTTCGAATGATAATAATTATTCCCCATTAAATTATAATTTGGTGTGTGTTTTCTTTAAAAAAGTTATAAACCTCGAAATGGTTAACCTTTTATTATGTTGATACAAGTGTTGAAAAATTAACATGAGCTTTGGTGCCAAGGGGTGCCATTTAATACATATTACAAACACTAATGTTAAATATCAATTTTCAAAGATATTGGACATACGCACATACATACATTAATAAACATATATGCAACACACCTACATTAATATGCAATACGCATGCACTCAAATTTACAACAATTCAAATATATTTCTGAGGTTTAGATGTATACATACGATAACCTATTGATAAGATATGCATTTAGGCAATGCACTTGAAAGCAATCTCAAACCATATAGCATAAACAATGCGATAACACACACACACACGTATTGCATTATATAGTTAACAACAACCACATGTGATGTGCAGTACATACTTCTTCTTTACTGTCGTAGATACCGCTTACGCGATTATAGCAGAATTAACAAGAAAGCGCCA